TCAGATTTCAAGGACTGATATGTGCAAATAATGAGTCACGGATATCCGCTGTTTCCACCTCTAATTAACATTGAACTGCAGGTTGTAGTCATGGCAATTCGGAAAGAAAACAAAAGGCACCCTGACTGAAAAAACAGAAACCTTCTTTGTTTGTTTGTTTTTGGTACCAGGGATTAAACTCGGGACCTTGTGCTTGTGAGGCAAGCGGCAGAACCTCTGAGCTAAATCTCCAGCCCAAAACAGAATCTTAATACTCATAGATATCACAGTTTTGGGCCAGCCATGGTGGCACACACCTGTAATCCCAGCACTCTGAGGGGCTGAGGCAGGGTAACCCCAAGTTCAGCCCAACCAAGACAGCTTAGTGATTTAATGAGCCCTTGTCTCAAAATTTAAAAAAAGGAGTGGGAATACAGGTCAGTGCAACGTTCCAGGGTCAACCCAAGAATCAAGATAGAAAAAAAGATGTCCTAACTTCCTATACAAAAAGATTTTTAAATTCCCAGGGGGAAAAAAAAGTTGATAAACAAGTTCAGTAAGGCCTCACAGGACATGAGGTCGATTTACAAAAATATTTTGGATTTCTGTACACTAAGAACGAATGACCTTAAAAGGGAAATTAAAACATTCACCATTATTATGCATATCCCAGTTAATGTACTCTGGCTGAGAGCGACAGTCTGACCCTCTAAATCAAGTGAACAGGCAGAGACCCAGAACAGTCAAAACATAGTGAATGATCGGAAACAAAGCTGAAGGGTTCACAGACCCTAATTTCAAAGGTCACTACAAAGTTATCGGAATGAAAACAGTGTGGCAATGAACAGCAGAAGGACAGGCATACAATGAATAGAAATCGAGTCCAGAAATGAACCCTTATATTTTAGGCTATCCAGTTAATGAGGAAAAGAGCAGTCTGTGGGCAAACAGTGCTGGAATAACTGAATCTCCACATGCTGAAAGAATGAACACACACCTATTCCTATACCACAAACAGCAACTCGGGGTTCCTCACAGACCTATGGGTAGGAACAAAAACTTCTCGGAAGAGGCCTGTATGTCCACAGACAGCTGAATGGATGAGAAAAATATGAGTACAAACTTAAGTCATCTGAAGGAAAACGGATGCATCTTCAGACCATGTTAAGTGACATAACTCAGACACATAAGCTTAAATACCGCAGGGTTTTCCTTATATGTCAAGCCCAGAGTACAAAAAAAGAGCAAACTAAAAGATAGATGATAGGCCGCGGGGAGACAGAGCTTTCTCAAATGGGAAGGGATCAAGAGATGGGGAGAATGGAAAGGGATGAAAAGGGAATTAAGATGTGGTAAGTACGTGCACCAACTCTACACAAGGAATGGAAACGCGTTCTCCAAATATGGACAAAACACAAAAGCTGTAAAACTTAGGAGCAAACTAGGAGCACACCTTTGTGATTTCAGATTAGGCAAATCATTTGCATATAAACTACCACGTGACACCAGTAACAAAATGGCAAAACAGATCGTGTGATGTCATCAGAATCTAAACCTGTAAAAAGTGTCCTGGGAAGGAGCCACTGAGAAAATGAACGCACCTACCAGTGGGCAGAAAGTATTTTCCAAGCATGTGTCTGATAAGGGATTGGTGTTCAGGTTTTTTGTTTTTCTTTTTAATCTCACAACTGAAGAATAAAAAGGTAAACACTCAACTGAAAATGGGGAAATGAATGTAAATAGTTGCTTCTCCCAGGAAGAGATGCAAATAAGCGCAAGGGAAGAAGCTGCGGGGGACCGTAAAGAGATAAAACTTCCAAGACGGCTACGTCAGAAGAGGCCATGTAGGGTAAGGAACATGGGGTTCTTGAAGCCTTCAGCGCAGCTCTTTGGAACGTGCATCTGCGGCCAATCTGAAAAAACAACTTCACAGTTCCTCAAAGTGCTAGCCAGGGTGCTACCGGGTGACACAACACTCCGCTCCCAGGTCTGTACTCACGAGAGATGAAAACAAATGCTACGCAAGAGCTGTGCAGACGTCGTTCCGATCAGCACTTCTCCATGGCAGGAAGGCGCAGCCCTGGAACGCCGTCCGCTGGGGCGCGGCTAAGTGGTACAGAAGGTGTGTGCGCAGCAGGGGCCTCACTCGGCTAGAAAGGCCGAAGTAGGGACGACGCTGCGACACCGAGGAAGCTGGAAACCAGCGCTAAGTGAAGGAAACCAGACACCCAGAAGCCACATTTAAATTAAACGTGCAGGACAAGGAACTCCACAGACACAGGAAGAAGACTAATGGCTGCAGAGGGCGGGACATGAGAAAGGTCTGCTGCAGGCAGCAGGGATGAAAGTGCGTTAAAGTTGATCCCGGAAGTGGCCCACGGCTCTGCGAGTGGAGGACGGACCGCTGAGCGGTACCTTCCGGCGGCTAAGCGCAGGACTGTGTAGCCTGCCTCAACAACCTGACCCCTGCGGACCGGAGGATGCGGTGCTGCGGACCAGCACCGCGAGGCAGCCCCGGAACACACACACGTGTGCGGCTCCCCGTGTTACACACCGGACGTGACATCAGAAAGTGGATAAAATGCTGCTGCACTTTCTCCTGCCGGGGCTACTGGACCAAATTCAAAATAAATCTGCAGTGCGCATGCCAAAGGTGAGAATTATCCCTGTCCACTAGGAGTCGTTTCGAGGCACAGAGCTGCTGACTCTGCACAGCCATCTGCACATTTCAGGCCGATCCTGCATCTTCTTGTCACCATGTTCAAATCAATTTGATGAGCAACTGCATCCTTGTTTGAAAACAGCTAGTATTAAAAAATGTTTTCATGGCTGCTCATAAAACCCACATGAATCCGAACGTGAGCCTGTCTCGTGAACGAAATGAGATTCCACAGCTCTGCATCCACTTGGAAAGCACAGTTTTGGATATGAAATATTTATGTCCCTTTGGGATCTAAATCTAACAAGCATCAAAATTTCCAAAATGATTGATTATTATTAGAAATTCCGATAGAATATCTTGTAACCCACTACCAGTAAAGCTTCCCATTTTAAAATCAAACTAATGCCTTAATCCTTAAAATCTTAATTTGTATGCTTTCCCCATAAACTTAAGAGATTCAGGGAAAAAACTTACAGAAGGGCTATCATCAAAACCATTTAAAGCTTAAGTTCAAAGGGCCGCTGCAGCACTCCTCACCTGGGCACAGAGACTGTTTTGCAATTCCGTGCCTGCTAAGAGCAGCTCTTGCAAAGCCAATTAGGTTTTAGCAGAGGTATTCTCCAAAGGAGGCCCATAAATACTGTTTCTATGGCCCTGGGAAGCCAGCCCTGCAGACACATTTCCAGAATGCACTGAGAGAAGGGTTAGCATTAGGTTTTTACATCCTGACTTCAGCACAAAGCCTGAAACCCAGTGGAATGGCAGGGTCTGCCCCTCAGGGCCGCGGGTCAGAGGGAGCACAAGGAACCTGGAATATGGACATGGGCCAGCCACACACCTGTGCCCGTGAGCCGCACATCTTTTCTGCAGGGAGGCCGCTCATTCCACCTCCTCCTGAGTGGAGGATCTGAGGCCAGGGACATTCGTCTGTGCTGGAAGACGCTGTGGCACTTTTCCAAGCCCGAAGCTATTACTCCGAGAACCTGGCCAAGCGCCAGCCTGGGTAATTATACTCCGCTTCCTAAATTTGCCCTGCTGTTTCAATTAGGTACAGCATTGTTTGTTTTCTTGCCTTTTCAGGGAAAAAAAAAGGGAAGAAATTCTTCTTGGACTCACTAGTACTGCTGACACCGAAGAGAAGGCAATCGTGACAGGCCACAGGTCAGGGCTGCCTGAGTACTGAACTCGGTGGTGACTACCGTATGTTCAGCCGCACAACCCCGGATGAAGTGGGACAGCTGCATCCTGCTGCCCCTCGGGTGAGACCCACACAGGGAGGCGTCCTTCGCACAGCCTGTTCAATCCGTGTGATAAGTGAGCACAGAAATTCCTGTGAGCGTTTCTACCCCTAATACTGTAGATAAAACCATCCTCTCACGATCTGGGGCAGGCTGTCTGCTGAAACCCAGTGTGGGAACCGGCCAGCTTCTCTGGATGCCAGGGATTCTAAAAGTAAAGCAGGCTTCCATCTCTCGCATGGCCAAAAATTGAAAGCCTGACAACACCAATCTGGGGCAAGGATATCGGGGAAATAAAACTTCCACGCACTGCTGGTAGGGAGATAAGCCAGCACGGGCACTTTGCGTGGCAAGCTGGCAGGACCTGATAAAGTGTCTCCTCCCCCAGCCACCGCCTGAAGACAGCATAGTCCATGGCAGAGAGGACACTGCGCCCCAGGCGACACAGGCACCGGCACTAAACATTTATAGAAGAACAGAGCAGTGCATCTCTGTGACGGACCCCGGAGCTGCCCTAAAAATGGAATACTTAATGGAAGGGGAACGCGGAAGAACTCGGCACCCCTCATGTGTGAGTTGCACATCTGTGGATTCAACAAGCTGCCCAACAAAACTATCTGAGAGCCACACGCGGCCCCAGTCCTGAGCCGGGCGCTGTGCGGGCCTCACCAGTCAGCCAGGGGCAGCACAGCGCCCACGCCAACGCCAGGCCATGTGGCAGCAGAGTGGGTTGGGGCCCGGGATGCCCTCCGTGGCCCCTGAGGGCCGGCTGCATGTGTGTGCAGTGGACACCCTCGTCGGCATGTGCAGGACACACGCGCCCCTCTCCGGTTACACAAAGTTGCCTCTGCAGGAAGCGGCACAGGCACCCAGGGCGGGCTCACCACAGGGCTGTTCGAGCACAGCGAAGTCTTACTCTACTTGCTGGTCCTGCTTCTCACTGTAAAAGTTACCTGGGTCCGCACAGACCCTGAGTTGATACCGGAAATGCACATCTGGACTTCCAGGCTGGCAAACGACACCCGGGACGCACAGGGGCTCCTGGCAGCAGGACTGACCCTGGGTCTCGGCCCCTCCCCTCGGTGTGTGACGCGCCCACAGGGAAAGCTCGGACAACTTACTGCACGGATGGCCCAGCACCTTCACTTCATCGACAGCCAGGTAGCCTTGGTGTCCAGAGGTAATCACTTCAAAAATCACCTGGAAGATCAAGGAGATTCACGTTACTCATCTCGTCCCCTTGGGCCCAGCCTCTGCTGCCGCAGCTCCCCCTCCCGAAGCAGGTGCGTACTTCCGGAGTCCTTGTCCCTACGACCGAGGGCACCCTTCCTTCCCACCCCTGCCCGTCCCCCAGGTGCAGCGGTGTGCGGGACCCACACCAGCAGCTGAGCTCCAGGTCTCCGGCTGCAGAGCCCCTCAGACCCAGCCCTGCCTTCCGGGACCTCAGTGGCTCCCACGGCACCCGACTCAAGGACTTAGCGGTGCAGGACGGGGGTGCCCCAGAATTGGGTGGAGGCCTGGACCTCACAAGGGCTGAGGCGGGGAGTGAAGTATCCGGGGCCTTGACCCCAGAACTTAAACTTGGAAGAGAAAACAATCATTAAGCAAATAATCCCACAGAAATTCTGCATCTTAAACTTTAATCATATGTTATTTATGCCCCAAATACACATTAAGATCTCCTTTGAACTCTTAGGGAGGATGCTGAGATTTATATTCTTTTATATAACAATTGTGAAGGTGATTCCAAGGCCAGACTATGAACTATGCAGGATCTTAGGTTCTAAACAAATGAAGAGAAGGGGAAAGGAAGGAAAGAACTGTAAGTACTCTGAATGAAGAAAACAAGGTACAGAAAGGACATGTACCAAGACGTGTCTATGACCTCTCATAGAGCCGACAGCTGAAGGATGCTAAGGAGCTAACAGTGTAAAGAGGGTGAGACTGAGGCATGTGCAAAGGCCCTGGGGTAGGCATGACCATGGTCATAAAGAGGGAATCAGGACCCACAGCAGCAAAGGTCCACTATGGCCAGGCTACAGAAGACTCAGTTTGTAGGGCTCAGACACTAGGAGAGACACGTTAGCAATGGAGTCAGGTGTGGTGGCACAAACCTGGGACCCCAGCATCTGGGAGGCTGAGGCAGAGGAACTGTAATTGAAACCCCGCTTGGGGAACTCAACAATTTAGTGAGTCACCTGTCTCTGTAACTGAAACTCAAACAGGAGTGGTAGGAATCAAGAGATACGAAAATTTCCACCGCGATGAAATCCACAAGGCTACAGCTTTCCTGTGAGAAGTCAAGAGGAAAAAGAGAGCATCTCCTGTTGCCCTAAGAGGGCACAGCATTGAGACAATGAAGCCACTTTGGGGAAACTGAGGCTGGAAGAAGCAAGAAGGCCACTGTGTGTGTGAACAGGCCTGGCTGTCTGACGGAATCCGGGCCACCTGAATATGCTCTCAGTCCCATCGCACAGGAAGTGAGCAGTGTCCTCCTGGGACAGCCAGGGGTCGGACTCAGCTGCCGGGAGCAGGGTCTGTACCCAGCCTGTGGCTGCACTCCAGGACTCTCCTGGGACCGTGTCTTGCACCCCCACCACCTGCAGCAGTCGGGGGAACAGCAGCACCTCACAGGGTCTCCAGGGAGGAGGCTGGGCATTCCGACCCCCAGGGAAGGCCAACCACAGGGTTTCCTTTCGCCTAAGCAGCACCGTCAGCCGAGGACTCGTGGACAACGGACAGAACAAGGGCGGCTGGAAACCAGGGGAAGACGGCAAAGGGGCAGGAGGGGCGGACGCTCACACGGGTTGTGCAGCGACTTCACTGCGGTGGGGGAGACGCCAAACTACTGCGGGGACCAACACATGGTCACAGGTACGAGTGCCAGTGTGTTCTAAGCTGGGAGACCTGGGCACGCTCTGTGGCCTGTGACGATGCTAGCGCCCGGCTGTGCTATTACGCCATAGACTAGAGGCTGCTGCTGCCTGGGGAGGCTGGGTAGCAGGTACTGTCACGGCCTGAGTGTGATTCCATGGCTGCCCCATAAACACGTCCGTCCATCTACCAAAGCTTGATCAGCTCCCACTTACTGAGCACAGACGTCCCCTGCAGTACGCAGCTGTCACTGTTATTTATAGTTTGTACAAAAAATGCATAAGGGATTCCGTGTTTTGTGAAACAAAGAACTTTAGACACAACACAGCCGTTCCCAAACCAGAGGTCTACTGTGGAGAGAATCTCATGTGTTCCTGAATGCTCATGAAGGGTGATCGGCAGAGCTTTCAAGACGCAGGCACACAAGTCACCCAGAAACCCTGGCTGGACCACACAACACTGTGTGAAGATGTGCGCACTGCAAATGTAAAACGTGCAGGGAGAGCTCAGAGGGCACCAACCTGGGCTGTTCCCCACAGCCTCTTCACTGAGACGCGAGGGAAAGCGAGGGAGGCGTAGGTTCTCCTGCGAGGGGCCACGCCGATGGCTGCAGGAGGACCCGTGCAAGAACAGGAAGCAGAGGGACTCCAGAGGAGGGTGGGAAAAGTGTCCGAAGCGCGCGGAGCAGGCCCTGCACACAGGAGCATCCTGCCAGCCAGAAGCAGCACCAGGAGGTGCTGAGGGCCCGCAGCCTGTGATAACGGAAGGGCAGCTGCAGGGACAGCAGGGCAGGGCTGAGGCAACTACCACAGCCACCGGGAACACTGGAACCACTGAGACAAACAGGCCTGAGCCAGGCTAAGCAACACATTCCCAGGGTCCGAGCTGCTCCTGAAGTCAATCTGGGCAACAGCACAGCCCTGTGTCAAAAATGAATAAAAAGGGTAAGGAATGTAAGTGGTGGAGCGCCCCTTATTCAATCCCCAGTACCCACCCCCAAAGCAGTAGATGAGATTAAACAATGCGACATTTACACACAAAGAAGTGCTGCTGGGCCGTAAAGAAAGACAAGCCCGAGTCACTGCAGGAAAACAGCAGCACCTCGAGACCATAATGCTAAGGGCAACAAACCAGATACACGAGCTTAAATGTGCAGTTTCTCTTACTAGATAGAGAAACTCCAAGTAAGAACAAATAGCAAATTAAAGATAAATAATAAGAAACAGGGAGAGAGGTTTTTTGTAAAAGGGAAGGGGATGGGAGGGGCAGGGCATGATAAAGAAGGAAGACCTGTTCTGTGCATGGACCGGCGCCCGCAGGGAGGCACCACTGTGTGCTGCAGACGGGCACAAGAGGACCTGAGGGCTCCGTGCGACAAATCCTGCCGCCCGTGCCCACGCCACTCACATGGCAGGGTGCCCGGATCCGCACAAAGCCAGGGCCCTGTCCTCCCGAAAGCTGCCCTCCTGTCCACACCCACCTGGAGGGGCACCGCCTCGCGGGCCGGTCTGTGCCCAGAGCACACGCTCACGGATCCGTGGGATAGTGACCTGTGTGTGCAAACGCGATCCAGGCCACAGCCCTGCCACAGACGAGAGCTGCAGCCACAAAGACCACGGGACTCATGGGTGTCTTCCTTCTGTTACCTCTCCCCTCCCTCCTCTCACGCCCACCCCGGTCTACTTCCCATTACAGAAGATCTCCCCGCGTCCTATCACCCATCTGATATGCTGCTCATTAACTGGTACCCTGGGCTTCTCCTCTGAGGGAGACCATGCAGTGTTCTGATGAGGTGAAGATGCTGAAGATTCGAGTCTGCCCAGCGGCCGTAGCTTCACTGCTAGCTTCATTAAACACTCAGCCCTTGACAGGCGAGCCTTGTTGTTTCTAACAAATAAGAGGCTTAAAGCAAGCAGCCCGACAGGTGAGCCCAGGTCAAGTGGGTTTCTCAGAAGGAGACTGCAGAACCCCCAGAAAAGCTTCTTACTCCCTGGCGAGCTTCCACCATGAACTTGCATCTACCCAGGGCGTTATCAGGACAGCTCCAAAGGCAAAGCACAAGTATTCTCTCCACCTCTCCTTGCCCAGTGGAGGACTAGGGAACGACAGGGCCAGCACCTGCTCGTGAAGGGCACCATGTGCGTGTAGGGCCGGCAAGGGCACAGCGAGGTATGACAGTACCAGCGTCCAGGTCCAGCAAAGGCTGAGGTCAGAGAGACAGGAACAGGGCGATGTGGCGGGAAGGCAGAAAGGCAAGAAACGGAGCTGGGATGTGTGTCACGTGTCTTCAACGGACATAACAGAATACAGTGAAAATCTGTATTAGGAAGCTTGGGTTTCCTTAGGAAACTATCATAGTGCTGCTTTTTTCTTTTTTCAAAAGTAATTCAATAACCAAAAAGTGTGTACAGTGTGTTTTTGTAGAGGGAACTCTATGTCCTAAGTATCTGCTGTATGCAAAGTCTAGCTTTCCGCAGCCAACCAGTAGGAGGTGGGTCCCACCCATTCCCTTTTAGGGTTGAGCCTGCCTCACAAGCACAAGGTCCTGAGTTGGCTTCCCGGTACAAAAAAAAAAAAAAAAAAAA